GTTACACACGTCAGGAAATCTGCCACGTCAGGAAATCTGCCACGTCAGGAAATCTGCATTTTAATTGGTATGGCTAAAATAGTCTATCTTAACAACTAGGTACTATTACAATATGGAAAGAAAAGCGATTAGCTTGTCTACTTTGATTAGCTCCTTGTATTGGGATTGGGAACTGTATTGCTGATTTTCTACTAGTCTCTTAACTTTGAATGTCGTGTTTTGCTGTAGGTGTGATAGAACCTATCCCAGCAGGCCAGGCGGCGCGGGACTACCTGGCGCGACACGTGAACCCCACCCTCCTGGGGGGCCTGACAGAGCTCTGCAAACAGAAGCCTGAAGACCCTGTGGTAAGATTCCCAGCTCTCAGCAATTGCCTACTAATCTTTTTATTTGGCTGTCAACTACCAAATATTACGCTGTTCTTTCACACACCTGGCCATGGTAATGATGTCTCTTGTTGTGAAAAATAGACCAATTTGTTAAAAAGGTCAAAGTTGAATGCAGCTGAAACTAGAGTTCCACGATCTCATACCTTCGCCAAATGATGTTAGCCTTTATGAATAAGAAATATACTAATCACCCAGATTATGCAAATAGGATCCTCAATTGCATGAATTATATCAGTCTGTTGATCATATTCTCCACCAAAAGACAGTCTTATCTTAACAAAGAATGCCATTTCTCATAAATTATGAAATGTGGTCCTTATTTGAATAAGTTATGTTTAATTATGTTCACCTTCACTTAACTTTCAAACACCCCAAGTATGAAACTCCAGGCAGTTACCACTATGCAATTATAACATTTTCTTATTGATTATGCAAATTAAGTCTTCATTTGCATAATCGATATTTGCCTGTGTTTCTCTCGTTCTTAATAACATATGTTACAAGCTTGAACTTCCTATCATGGAATGCAGCTGATTTATAGAATTTCCTCATTAATTATGCAAATTACATCAATATTTGCATAATTGTAATATCATTATGTCAAGCATCACTTAAGCTACCTACATACCAAAAATCACGATGATCCATCTATCAGTTCTTGAGTTATCCTCTTTTAAACATTTGTCCTTTAAACCCCCCTGCAGTTCTAGAGCAAGCAACTAGGGGGCTCATACTCATGTCACTTCATCCCCAGCACAAGAGCTATCTACCATCTAAATTTCGTCACCCTAGCATGTCTGGATCATGAGATATCAAAACCGGAAGTTCTGCTGCAGTACCATAGCATGTCTGGATCATGAGATATCAAAACCGGAAGTTCTGCTGCAGTACCATGACAAGCCGCCAGGGGGCCCAAAATCTAATCATTTTGAGGTCTCATCAAGACCTACCCACCTACCAAATATCAAGTCAGTCCATTTAAGCCTTCTCAAGTTATCGTGTTTACACACACACACACACACACATACACGAACGCCTCTGAAAACATAACCTTCTTGGCGAAGGTAATTACACCACCTGATTGGTTACTAGCTATCCAATCAGGAGGCTGAACTATTTAAAAAGTTTAGCCGTCATTAGCATACTTTGAGATCTAGATATGATAAGTTTGTTCTTTCTGTTCCAGACTTGGCTTGCAGACTGGATGATTGAGAACAACCCTAACAAGCCCAAGATTAGGCAGCCGATCATCCAAGAGCCTGAATAAACAAACTGTCCTGCCTTTATTACTTAGTCTCTACACAGGACCAAAATCCCAATAGTTCCATGTTGTAACTATATAACCATTCTTTCAGCCAAACATTGTCAATGTTTATTTTGTCTATAGTTCTACTATAATCTGTAAAGTTTGTATTCTGTTATGGATGTAATTTTGAAGAGTTCACTTTGGCGCTTAAAGGGTCATGTACTTTAGAACACAGAATTAAAAATGTAGTGAGATTTGTGTTAAAATGTACCATTGTTACATCACATTTTACTGTTACTGGCCATGGGAACTATTAATAGTTGTTTGGACCAAAGTTTTAGGATTGTAGTTCATGCAGCAATCCTCTCAAATGTATTTCAAAAGCTCTATGTTCTTGTTAGTATGGATAGTGCCTTGTTCAGTGTACATGTTTGTGAGTTGAGAGTTAAAAGAAAAGCAATCTCTGTTCTGAAAGAGTACTTTATATATTGAGTGGCACAGGCATCTAAATGTACTTCTCTACATTCTTACATACTATTTTCAGACACAATATTGTAAGGGTAATTCTTGGGTCCTAGTTGCCAATTTATGGTCTAACTGTAAAGAAATTAATGAAAACATACAATTCCAATGCCTCATTATAGTGGTGTATATAGTACTTAAAAGTATCTTACTAATATCTTTGTTCCAAAAGATGTAATATTTTGACTGTCACGTTTGTATTCAGAATTATAAACTGTTTCAAACCTTCTTTTTTGTGAAAGTTCTTGTGTGTTGTTTTCCCTCAGCACCTCTTAGTGATGCTTATCTTCACTTTTCAACATAGAAGTATATTCACTGGTAAATGAACAAAAACACTGAAGTCATTTTCAACCACCTACATTTTATTTCAACCACACACCAAGACCATTATTTATGAATGGTGAAATATTGCTTCTTACTTGCTTGGCATTAATTATATCTTTTTATGGCACCCTAGTTTCTAAAATAGTTCCATATTATATTTGAAGAAGCATCATGTATCGCTTTATTTACATGTAGTACCTTAAAACCAGCACAGACAGAATAGATACCTTTATCAATGTAAAAAATATGTAACATTACTGTTTTAACATTCCTTTTATACCTGTCTTCTCTTAATCTGCTTTTCCTCATTTCAGTCTTTTTTTCAATCTTTGAAGCTTCAAGCTTTACTATGTATCAAATTGGCATTACGTGTCATTTTTCCAGATACAATTTTTCACCAATTCTCATAGGTACTTTAGTGTTATATCTAAGAAAAGTTGAACAAAGGAATCATCATCTTAAACTAAGTTAAAGCCAGTCAATATCAATACCAAGAAGAAAAACCTTCACCACAAGCTATATACATTTCATGTCTACATAATACTATTAATAGACATGGTTACTATATAATTTTTTGGTATGTACATAGTTCTCTCCTACAAACCAAATAGTTCTTTCAAAATATTTACAAAAAAGGCATTGGACACAACAGCTCCACACTGAAAATAACATGCACAGTGACCTAAATAAAGTTTGGACAAATTTCTGCAAAAAATTAAAGCAGTAAAGTTATATTACAGCTGATACAACTAAAGCTGTAAATACTCCTTGTTTTAGGATTTTCACTTTAAACACCAGGTTCAAAACATAACATCAGAGATTAACAATTCCAGCTCCTACTAGAGTCCTATACTAAGTCATACTTAGTAATACCTATTTTAGCTGTTCCTCCGAGACATGGCATTTGTGCCCTCCATTCACTAAAAATATATCCTAAAACTTTTACATTGTGCCATGATGTATATAATCATGATATATTTGTGCAAAATTGTCCACAGAAGCATTACCTTAAGTATAAATACACATACACAAACCAGAAATTAAGCTGTTTCTCACTCCCAGTGGTAAAAAGTAAGATATCATCTACTCTACCTATCTACATCCTTACCAAACTAATGCATAATCCTTTAGCAAATTGGACTCAATTCAATTATTAGCTGCTATAACTTGACAGTAGATTTACTTGGTCTTAGCTCAACCTGAGCTTTTCAGTTCCAGATTAAAACATTATTGTGATTTTACATACTATCTCAAATCCCTTGTTTGAAGTTACATAATGTATCCCCTGTCCTTTTAAAATAAGATACCACTGTATCTATCTGCATTATCTTCAAAGGCAAATGAAGGAAAATCGTAACAATTGACATGCAGGGAGAGAAAAGTGTTCTACTGTTGCTCTCATGTTGTTGAGAGGAGGGAGTATCCCGCCATCTTTTTCTGCCTACGCCTGTACACGATATACGTCCCCAGGGTCACGACGATCACGAAAGCTCCGAGCGCGCAGCCGACCGCCATGGGCACCACGTTGGCCTTCCAGGAGGGTTCCGGGGTGGGATCCTCGGGGCAGACGTGAGATTTAGCGAAACCGTAGCCGCTGACGGAGAATGGCTGGAGGTGCAGGTCCTGGGTGAACAGAGTGACGTCCGTGTTTAGGGTGATGTTTGTCTGTCTCATACACTGATACGACTGCCCAACATGTGCTTCATATATCTCCAGGTTTGCAGTGGTCACCTCCATCCTGTGATTCAGCTGTTTGGCATCGGGAAACCAGTTTTCGTTTACGAAGTACTCAACAGAAACTTGCGATACGCCAAACTTTTCCACGCTGCTCGGATTGGACGAATTCTCTCGCGACTCAGAAAACGTGAAGGTAATGTTGCACTGCCTTACGTGGAAGGAGAGGGTGAGTTGGGATGTGTTTTGGCCACAGATGCCGGTGGCGTCAGCGTTAGTGGGGACATTGATGCACCCAACCCTCGTGGTGTTGTCGACAGTGGTGTAGCGTGATCGGAGCTGGAGGGACATGTCTGCCAGGAGACAGGGGTTCCCCTTCTCATCTTTCACCACCCACTTCCCCGGGGGAGGCATGTGGGGACACAGGGGGGTCATGGTGGGGACAGGGGTGGGGGGGAGATCCGCAGGACATCTCTTGGGCGTTCCAAACTTATCACCTTGCACGTCAAACGCCTGGACCTGAAGCTGGCTGACTTTGAGAGTGACTCTGTCCTTCAGGGGCACAGATATCTCTGTGTCACATTTGTAAGATTGTCCTGAATCAGTCATGAACAGGTTGATGTCAAGTCGCATGGTGTGAAGTGTGTAAGGGTTGGCTGTGTCCATGAAGAACTCTGGCAGTTCCCAGTAGGAGAACAAAATGGAGGATGTACTCCAGTTCTTCTTGCCTGGTGCTTTCTGGAAGTTGATGGTCAAGTTCGAGACGTCCGACCTCAGTTCAATCACGCTGTGTTCTTCTGAACAGGAGCCGACTGCTGTTGCGTAAGTAGGGAACCACACCGTTGCTGTTCCAATTTCGCCTTCCTTTGTCTTGTACTGCGCTTCAAACCTCATAGCCATGTAAGCAAGCAGGCACGTGCTGTTTTTGTTGCGGACTTGCCACTTCCCGCGGTGGGTTGGTGGGCTCGCTGTGGTCCCCGGGACTGTTGTGGTGTTCATGACAGGAAGGGCTGTAGTTGTGGGAGCCAGAGTGGTGTTGGGGGCAGTTGTTGTATTGGTGGCTGCTGTTGTGGGGATCTTTGTTGTAGGAGCTGCCGTGGTTGGCATGTCCTTCTTGCACACCAGAGGCTGTCCGTACTTTCCCGCGGTCACGTCAAAGGGCTGGACCTGCACCTCAACGAAGAACAGCATCACGTCCACTGTTATCTCTTCGGAGTCCTCCGATCGGCAAAGGTATGACTGTCCCAGTGGAGCACGAAACAACCCCAGGTCTCCTTGTGTGTCGTTCCGAACAGCACTTTCACCCGCTGCGCTTGCATTGGGGAAGTTTGTGGAGTCAAACACCCATCCAACCGAGGAAGCCGACACTTCAAACTGTTCACCATCACTGGTGAAGTCAAGGGACACGTTATAGGTCCCGTTGTTGAAGCTAAACCGTAGCGCAGCGCTGGTTGTGCCACAGGTTCCGCTGACCTTCGTGTCACTGGGAGGGCAAACCGTGCAAAACCTATCTTTGCTGCATCGGTGGTTGGATATATGACTTGGACGGCAACTCCCATTTTGTACAGCAGACAGGCTGTGTCGTTTGGGTACTTCAGACTGCCCTGTAGGACAGTAGGGTCATCATTTACTTGGAGAAGCGGGCTCTCCAGGGTTGTGGGTCGTGCTGTGGTGTCTGATGTCGGGAGAAACGTAGGGATTTTAGCCTGGGCTACGGTTCCTGCCAGACACAGGAGAAGAACAGGACAGATTCTCAAGTTCCCCATGCTGAGTTGTGGTGTTGTTTGGTGTTCTGGTGTTACATGAACAGGTAGTCTGGTTTTTAGTACAATCCAACAAGTCAGTCGCTTGCACTGCAAGTTACAGCTTACTGGAAACAAAAGAATTTAAAACATTAATCTAGTGCTTGAGTGCTGCTACAAGGGCTATGTTTTACTATGTTTTTCATAAGGCTCAAAATTACCTTAGTATTAAATACTACAGCAAAAGTAGGCATTTGTGAGATTAGTCTATATGCCCTCCTCCATGCAAAACAGTGATGTCATACATTATCTTGTGATCGAAACTTACATGTAATACAGATGTATGATGCTGTCTTTTACCACATGATGTACAGTGTTACCGGTTTAAAGACTAAAATGATTATCGCAATTGAAGCATAATTACTACTAAATATCTGAGGAACCAACACACAACTGTTTGAACATCTACAGCGGCAGTTTTCTTTGTTATGTCTGGAAAAGCAGAACAGTTTTCGAGACATAACAAGCTAAATACTGCCTCCTTTTGCGAGGGCGTGTCCAAAAAAAATGCAGAAGTTTCCACGCCCCTGCACATTCAATTACTGCTGCATAGCCATGTCCCTATGGCCATGGTCAGGGTGTCTTTCTTTCGCCGTGTGATTCCGCAACACTTGTGGTATAGTATCGATTGTATCACAGGACACTGATCACAAGGCGCAAGAGCTAAACCGAAAACGTAACCGCCCCCCTCCCCTCTCAACCCCAAACCCACGATTTCCTTATAAAGAGACGGCTGACAGTCGACTCACCTGATAGAAAATATGGCTGGTGATCAGAGGAAGTAACTAACACTGTTGTCAGTTGTAAAACAGCGACATACCCGGCTCAGAGAGCCTCATACGTGACAAGTTGTGGGGTTCGCGCGCTTAGCTCAGGTTTGACGTAGCCAGAATGAATGTTCTCACAAGGTCATGCCGGGTCACCAGAAATTACCCACCATGCTTCACTTCAAACGCATGCGCAACTCCCTTGGCAACACTGTAAACAAAGTCTGCCAGCAGAGCAAGAAGCTGAAAATAAAGGATTTTATATGGAATAACAACCATCTATATTGCCCTTTGTTATATATTGAGCCAGATACATCCATGGCTTAAATGCCAAACGATTTGTGCAGTATGAAACGACTGTCCCGGTGAGAAAATACTAGAATCTCTACTCATCAAGTGAGGAGACTTTACTTCCGGGTTTGGTGTTCTTGAATATATTTCAGCAACAATCAAGAATCATGCCAGCAAACGCGAAGGTCACGATACGGTACGGGAAATACGAGGCTTGCGGCACAGTGGAGTACAGAGAAGACAGGCTAGACGGTTTGCAAGGTAATCTTAGAAAGGTTGCATATCTGTCAGAGTTGCAGATTTCATAAACAATATTTATATTGCAATAATAAAATCATTGTAATACTACTTTTCTTAAAAAATGAAACATAATTGCTGACAGTCTAGTCATTCTGTTTTATATGGTGCACCCAGATTTTTTTGTGCACCCAATTTTTAGGTTGGGTGCACCTATTCCAAAAATGAATTTCAAGCCCTGATTTGTGATTGAAACGACCAGTGTGGAACGTAACACTTCTTCCTAATGCCTTCATGACGTTTCATCAAGTGTGATGACGATGTCATTTGTTACAGCTGTGCTGAAGGCAGACGGACACCAGGTAGAGCTGAAGCAAATTGAAGACTGGAATGTTGTAGAGCTCATTGTGAATGGAGAAACAGTTTACACATGCAACATTACAGACCTGGACTTTGGTAAGTCAGTGTGCTGTTGGTACATTATGTGTACATACATTGACCTGTATAGCAAAATCATGGCATGAGTGGTAATATGTATGCTTAGTATGTGCATGGATATTGAAGTGGTGAAATTTTGAAGGTATCTGATGTGTGTATTCCTCATTACTCATGCTGCATTAGTAAATGCTTAAATTTAGTTTATTTTCTTTTATGTGCCGGTCCCAGATACATGGCAGACTTATGAACCTTCAACCATATATTGCATAAAGCTTTGAATTGTTCTTTGGATACATTGTCACTATTATCTTTTTTTTTTCTAACATAGGTGGAGATGGTCAGCTGGACCCACTGTGTGCAGAAGCATTAAAGGCAGTACAGACTGCATACTGATGTGTCAATGTTACTGTAGTAGACAAGCTATACATTGTAGACATATAAGACTTCACTGTGGCTAGTCAGCCTGTTACATATTGATAGTCTATTAAAACATTTGTAGCTACCAGTATCAACTGTACAGACTAACAGACCTGCTGAAGTAAATACAATGTAGTTGCTTCTAATGCAGGAGGGAAAAAACTGTACAAAGATGTATCACAAGTGGATGGGTGTAATTGTGACATTTTGTGTAAATACATTTGTTTTAGAAAATGCAAAATAGAAAAGTTGCAAAATTTGAAACTGAAGGAAATCAAAATACAGGATCGTGCAAAATGATGTACATGATCTATTCCTGTGTCTGAGTGTATGATTGTGTTATGCCTCATTTCATCCTAAACAGCTTTTTTTCAAAATTAACAAATAGAAGTGTAACAATATACAGTAACTATAGTTATGAATTTTATGAGCATCAAAATGTCATAGGAAGCCCTTAAGTACAAACCAAACAGTACCACAAATATGTCACAATAGTCTTTAATCAAAGTCTCTCTTCTTTAAAGCAACATACAATGGAAAAGTCCAGACCATTCCTGATACATGACTACCATTTCAAGCCCCATATCTTAAAGAGTTAGAATCAAGGCTCACCACTAAAATTAACCAATAGTTTCATTCTCTGTCAAATATGCAGTCGTCTGTAGACTGAATAGTTAGTGGAGCAAGAATAATTTTCATGCAATCAACATAAAGATAAAGTACATTTCTTTGTCATACCTCAAATCTGTTTGAAACATTAAATTTTGACCTTCAGAGCCCTGTTTTTGGGACCACAATACCTCTATACATTCTTTTTTTACTTTGTACAAAAGAACACAAAGTTTAAGATAAAACCGACTCGTTGAAATGTTCAACAATAAATTTCAAAACATGCGAAGACACAATATCAACGAAGTTCAACAATAACCTATAAGAACTGCATCCACACTTCAGAAGTTTTACGATTGGACCCCCTTCCCTTAATTTGCTATTCTACATTTTCTCTGTACTGGATACTATCGTGTATGATTAGATGATTTTCTATTTTTGTACAAAGATTGTGTGAAAATTATCACATTATGGCCTCAGAAACAGTGACTTCTATGTCCTGGCAAGTTTGTGTGGTGTATGTTTTTCCTATCTTGTATCTAGTCTTCATATTATTTGACATTGCAACAATACAATGTACCCATGTATACAGTGTAGTGCATTTGTCAATCAGAGACTGTCCCTTGCATTCCCTTTTAGTTTGAACTCATGTATGTTTAGTGAAACATTCCCATATTGAAATTTAGCAAAGGACAAATCTTTAACAACCTAGCTGCTGCCAGTGTCTCCTCCTAAGATAGACTACTCTCTTAAATAATTTTACATAATACATGTACCACCAGCTGTCATTAGTTTGTGCTATAGTTGCCCCATCTACTGTGCAGTTTGATGTGAAAGAAAACATCAACAGGGCCAAATATCAAATCAAAACTCACTTCAAAACAGCATACTTGTCAAATTCAACTGGCTCTCCTGGATTACAAATTAAGTATATATCCTTATGAACCCACTTTGAATATTATTGAGGTCTATGTCTATTAACTAGTCACATTTAAGAGGATGCAGCTAAAGTGAGAATGGCCTGGATGAGGGGATGTTGTGTTCATTCTTGTGAGGGTCCAACCCAAACCGGTTCTTTCCAGTTGAGGTCGGTGGCTTGGTTGACAAAATTGTTCTGTTCGCTTGTATGTTTGAACTTGTTTCCAGCTGCGGAGGCGGCAGCTCCATGGCGGCCACAGTATCTGTCACATGGGGGGAAAGGAGAACAAATAAATTAGAACCAGAATTAAGGTAACATTTGCAAAGCAAATGCATAATGTTTACCTTTGCATATGGTCTGCTCTGTTAATTCTTACCCAAACACATTCAAAAATGGTCAGACAAGAGTCAAGATTCTACATGTTGTACTAAGAGCAGTTGATATTTCAGACTTATATAGCAAAATTATGAAGAACACCAAAAGGAGCTTAGTATAGCTTAGTTACATTAAATTTTGCATGTACATACATTACCTTTGGCCAAGTGAAATTACATGGTATTTATACTATAGAACACACATACATGTATTACAATAAAACCCACAGAACAAATACAGTGTACATTCCCAGCATCTTTCAAATGGAATTTTCTTACAAATGACTGACTAAACGCAAATGATCACAATCATGGTATATATAGTACTAAATCGCTTCCTGGACCCCAAATATACATGTATACAATGGTCATGTAAATTTATAGTCTAGTACTTCCTGTACTGAATACATTGGACATTATCACTAGATATAAGAGCCCCAGAGAATATGATCTGAATGTAAATATTACGTCGTACCATCTTCATTTTGCAAAAAAAATTAATCTCCTGTAACCAGTATTTTGTGGTGAACACAAAAAAAGAAAAAGGAACTTGTTATATTAGGTCCTCTGTTGTTGTCCTTAGAAAATTTAGTTTCGTTTACAGTACAGTTGTTTCAGCAATTGTACTTTCAGATGACTGAACAGTTTTAATTTTAAGTTTTGCAGAGCAATGTTAACTGCACAAAGCTTTCAAAAACTTTTACAGCATTAGAGCTGCAAGCCTGCAGCACACACAAGTCTACACAAACACACACACAAACCAAAGCAAACCACACCCAGAACTAAAGACTTAAGCACACATGTGCACAGTAGTGACAGGAAAATTAGAACAGATTGAGGTAATGATGTTGGGATTTGATGATTTTTGTGGTTGTTAGGGTAAGCGATCACACAGGGATGTATCTCTCAGTTCCAATGACACCTCAGATAATTCAGATGTAAACAACTTTTCTAAACAATTCTTTGGTAGTGATTTTATGGTCATGACCTATGATTTTTTTTTTCATTTTGTCAACATGTTTGCAATTACAAGCTATATGTAGTAATGAAATAGAGAAAGATTATTGGATGCTTGTGTGTTTACTGAGCTAATTTGAGCTTATATACATAATTTGAGCTACTTTTTCTTGCAGATTGGATAGGCACCTTAAATGGGTATTTAGAAAAATTGGTCACAAAATTTGCTTGTCAAATACGTCTTAAGTTTCATTGCCAATTCTTTTCGGCACACATTGTAGAATCTTTTCCTTAGTGCCAGCTCGAGTGCCTATAGCTAGTTGGAAACTGAGATATCTCCCAACATTGGAAGTCAAGTGCAATAAAGCAGGCTCCACCTCTGAGGCATCGCCAAAAACAGATGGATTCTGAGAATCAGAGTCTGATTGGTGAGGGTGGTTAGTAGGAGGACTGGAGGTTAGATAGGGTTACACAAATGGACCGTGCACTGACTGGAGATGAGATTTCAGCCGGTGAGATTTCTCCTGGGTTGGCTTTGCCAAAGGGCTACATGATTGTCAAGGTTCATGGCATGCTCCAGCAGCCTGTTCAGCTCCTGGTGATGGCTTTGTTTAGCTCCTGTGGCCGCGGCGGCAGTTGGCGCACGACCTGCGTAGCTACAGTTACAATACACCAACAGAAAGGGGGAGGAGGCATGCGTGAGAAATGAAATATTAACCTTGTTCCATGTAGTGAATGGTATATTATAGAGCGTTTTCATCTTTCCTTTCTATCAATGAGGCAGGTGGGTGCTGGCCGCCATGTTGGTGTCCTCATTTGCATTTTAGTGGATCGTAAGTGCACAATAGCTCAAGTGTACACAGCATTTTTGTGCTTCATTTGCAGATGTCTAAGTAGTTATTCTGACCAAGTAGACTCTTCTTTAAACTGTAGACATTTTCAAAGCAGTCACTGGGTTATTCCAGAGTTTATAGGCTTGGAAAAGACTAGAGCTAGGATTCATTGAAATGCAAATGGTGACACCAACATGGCGGCATACACAGCAAAGGCATCACCCGAAAACGCTCTATAAAAGGGAGTAAGTTAGCGGCAAGTAGTCGGTGATAGGAAAAGTGGCAGGAATGGCAGTGAGGCTGGTGGTGCAAAACAAAGAAGAGAAAGATCTAGAGAAGCAACAAGTTCCTTAATCATGCAACATCTTTGATAGCATACATGTACATCTTTTGTAGCCATCATTTGGCTAGCGCAGTGGTTAATGTCCTTGGTCTTCAGTTTAAGCTGACAAAAAAGATTTGCAAGCTCTAGATCTGCTTAGAAGCTCGAAGCTGCCTCCACACAAATTTGAGATCAATGGCAATGAAGAGCTGCACCTTGCGTAAGCGTGAATTGGACACAAAGCAACACAAAGCTATAGAATCAAAGAGTTAAATTTTTTGTGTGAAGCAATTTTTCATCAGAAGTGTGGACTGAGATGATCAGTGTGATTATTTGAAAACCATTGTTAATCTTTCCTTTAAATTAGCTGAAATTCAATAGCAATACTGAAACCGTGGAGCATAAACATTACTTAAAGTATGACCATATTATATTTCCATCTCTCTGTCAGTTGAATGTGCATAACGTATTCTTAAAACAATTTCTAAAACTTTTACAGAACCATAGAAATGGCAGCATACCGAAAAATAATCTTGAACATAGACATGTGGCAAATTAAGGCCACACCAACATAATTTGTTGGTTCACAAATTTGCCGGCCTAATTTTTTTCTGATTTGAAAAAAAAAAAAAACAAATTTCAGATTCTGAATCAACTCCAAAATACTCATATTTTGGCCCCAACAGTTTTTCCATCTATCAAATGCAGTGGTTTGAAATTTTTTGGCCCTGTCACTTCATATTTTTTCTAAAAAAAATCCGAGAACCAACAAATGAAATTGGTGTGGCCTAAAGCCTGTTTAACATATTGGGACGTGAATGTCGTCACTGATCGTGACCGTACGACCGTTGTTTCCCCGCGGCCCTACCTGACGTGGCGCTCGCGGTTAACCGTCGTGCGGATGCGAGGCTGGATGTAGCTCCAGGCACCCATGTTCTTGTGCTCCTCCTGTGCCCACACCAGGTCAGCGTTGGGGTACAGGTCACACTGCTGCTTCACCATGTCAAACGGGAAGGGAGAGATCTGGAAAACACAAAACAACCTCACACATCTATGTGGATCTTCAGAATCTACAGAAATCTCATACCGGATAGCTAAATAATGGCCCCTCAGTCCCCACCTTTCGCCGAAAATTTTCTTTAGCAGTGAAATATTCAATTATTTTTGAAATCGTTTCCACCTTTGCTCTGCAGAAGTCAATTATGACAGAGATGGCATGCGGCATATCTTTCCAGGCACTTTTGACCAATTGTTAATGTCGCGTGTTCATAAGGTATTGCAATGAAAGTGATCAGACAAACACAGACAATTCAACGCTCTTCCCTGCTGTGTGGAAACAAATTAAAGTCTTATCTCTTGATCATGTTAACTACCAACAACAATGACCCAATAAGATGAAGTTCACCCCTGTGCTGTTTACTCCATGGTGTTGTTACACTTGTGGTCGACCTCCCCCAAGTTCATTACCTGCTCGATGCGAACAATCGCAATTTTGTCGTCCAGATCACGAGCCTTCCTCTCCTGCAAGGAAAAGTCAACACAGACATTTAAAAAACGATGGATTCAATGTTAGGAACAGATCTGCACCTTGGGCAGAGTTCCATTCTTAAAGGGCATTATATATATATATATAATCATTATGTGTAGGCTGAATCTACCTTTATCACACGCCCTAGCAATATGCACACAAATATGATTGTGACAAACTAACATGTTGAAAACCTGGGGTATCTTTACAAATATCTTTACAAAATACACAAACATTCAACTTGAGTATCATACTATTTGAGTTATGCTGCTTACAAACAGACAGATAGACAAACAAACGGATGAACACTACTGAAAACATACATGTAACCTTCTTGGTGAAGGTAACAAGACTGTGTAGAACAAATGTGTATCTGTGTCTACGTACCTTAGTCAGGTCGTAGTAGACCTTCCCTGTACAGAAGATGAGGCGCTGCACCTGGTCGTGGTTCTGACCTGCCGGGCCGGTGTCCGGGATCAGGCGCTGGAACGTCGTGCCGGGCAGCATGTCGTCAAACGACGAGCGCGCCTCGGGATGGCGCAGCAGGCTCTTTGGTGTCATCACAACAAGCTGGAGGTACAGCACAGTTCACAAGGTTAACATGTAAATTAATTCAATCACTAAATAGATGCTGTTAATCTACATTTTGTGTGTACTGTCTGTTATATCATATTTATCATATATATGCCAGAAGACGTCAACCAGACGTCAATCAGATGGCTCCATTTCCCATTGGTTATCAGGCAATAACCTAAACAGTGGTCGGATATTAGAATAACCGACCACTTTTTGGACCACTGTTCGCTAGCGCTCACTCGGCAGTTCAATTGGTGGTTATAGGAAATGACCAGGCCTTATGACATGATAAACACCTCGGGCAGGTCATTAACCCTTAATTACCAGTTAGTAAAAAGTGGTTGATTTTGCTACTCTTTTGCTACATTTGCAGAACTGTGCAACGCCCGAAGATGTCATTATCAAAGCACTGATCAGTTAGCAGTTATAGTTCACTCCTTGTATTACCCTATCCTGACAAGTATAGCCTAGAACTTACAGGCTTCCTGAAGGGCAGCAGCACCTGTCGGCGCAGCAGGTGGAAGTAGTTGGCCGGGGTGGTGCAGTTAGCCACGATCCAGTTGTGGTCAAACAGCTGACGGATCTCAAACCGCTCATCAATTTCCTGCAAAAACAAGCATGATTATAATTATGCTTAAGTTAAATTTTAGATCCAACACAAAGAAGTTCTCTCAGCTAGAACTTTCGACCAGTCACTATGGTCTTCCTCAGTAGACTGACCCAGTGAGGCTTGTCATGTGGCTTCTTTGAAATGTGACGTCGACACTGCGTCAAAGGTGGTAGACAATGGCGGCCCCCGTCACGGTTGAGTGAAGGGTGATGGAAATAGCTGCCCTGATGTAAATAGCCTCTTTCACCCCTCTCAGGAAATAGTGACTGTCTTGTTCGGTGTCATCGTCTACCAGATGCCTTTGACCCGGTGTTCTTAATATACATGTTGATGTAGTTTAGCTTAATGAAAAGTGGTTGGGATGAATGCCATGTACTGTAATTTTACTGACATTTGGGGATGTTCTTTTTTACTTACCGGATAAAGATCTGAATCTTCTGTACTCATCTGCAGAAAACGCTCCATACGGGCACTGGAGTGTTCTGGGCCCTACAACAACAACAACACAACACATTTTGTGGGAGAAAAAACAGTGTTTTAGGAGCTAATGCCATCATAGGACTTAACTACATGAATTTCACTATTAATAGCCAAAGAGCTAGTATGTAGGCAAAGGTCATGTACCAGTGTAACAGGCCTGAATCTACCCCAGGCCAAAGTATACCCGGGTTCATTCTGGCCATGGGTACATTCTGGCATGTTACACCAGAGTCTGATCATTCCCTTGTCAACTCACAGGATCCTTCCTTAGCATTTTTCTTCATAAAAAGTGTCAACTTGGGACGTACCATTCCCTCATACCCGTGGGGTAGGAGCAGGGTGATGCCGGTCTGCCGGACCCACTTGGCCTGCCCACTGCTGATGAACTGGTCGATAATACACTGAGCGGTGTTGGAAAAGTCCCCAAACTGAGCTTCCCACAGGACAAGGGCATTGGGGTTACTCATACTGTAACCCAGCTCAAAGCCCATGACAGCGTACTCGGACAGCGAGCTGTTACAGACGGTGTAGGGAGCCTGGTCCGGCCACAGGTTGTCCAGCGGTGTCCAGAACACCTTGTCACGGTTCTGGTCATGCAGCACGTGATGGCGCTGACTGTTGACAAGGAAAAAAAGCACAGGGGTCAAATTCTCATGGTTTTGGTAGTTTTTAGATGATACATTGAATGTAGTATGCTTGTCAGCCAAATCACATAAAGTTCCAAGTAACACAACAATAACAATTTATGTAACACAATAACAATATATATATGTAACACAACAATAACAATGATCCTCTGAAGACCCCCAAACTAGTGCGCACCAGCAAAAAAAATGCTGCCAAACCACAGGTATGCAGAGCTGGTATTGTGAATTTCCGGTAATACATTAACTTTTATGACCTGCTGGCCTTTCGCGGAGTTCTTGAGTTCCGTGGAGCCTCGGCAGCCTGGTTGCCATCGATCTATACATGTAGTTACCGCCGGATCCCTACATCCCTACAACAACTGCCACCCAAGCCCATGTTTTACCTGAAGGTGCCTCTCTCTACGTCCTGCCCGCTCAGTCTGACGTGGAAGCCGGAGTGCATGAGGGAGCCGAACGCCATCGCCTCCGCCATGGCCCAGTCCACCCAGCGCTCCTTCACCATGGTGGCGCGCTGGCGCAGGATACGCTTCACGCCGCCGTGGATGGTGAACTTGGGGTCGGGAGGGGGGCTGCCCATGAACGTCCCCACATGGGTGAGGATGTCCTCACTCACTCCCGTGGGCTCACACACCATCATCGAGTCACGTGTCTTATCCTTAAAGAAATCTATAAGGAACCCAAAAGATTTCTAACCTTAGTAAAATATTGAACTTTATTCCAACACAAGGGTTACACAGAGATCAAATTTTCAACGACCACTGTCGCCTTCATCAGGATAATCCGTTAAGTCTCTTGTGAGGTCACATGTACATGTCTGTAACCGTAATTCTCGTGCGATTACATTCAGAAGTGATTGGTTATTGATTATCCTGATGATACATTGCCTATCTAAAAGCTGATGAGAAGAATGAAGACATCAGTGCTGTCCAGACCTGTCCATGGTGAGTCCAGCCAGTGCTTGATGGACAGGATCTTCTCTTCCCTGGCCTGCTGATACGCCTCTTCACAAATCTTGTCATACTTCGCAACCTCCTCCTGAGATGTCAACAGTCACCTTCCGTTAGAAAACATTCAACTACAACAGTATTTATCTATTCATTTTTTCACTATCCGAGCTAGAAAAGGTCAATCAGCTTGAAAAATTTATGTCCCTTGCAGGGGTCCGCATAAAAAAAGGCTAGATCTGGCAGGTTTTTCTAGGGTCGGTCGGGAAACAAGAAACACATTATTTTTGTCAACATTTTTTTTCGAGGCCTAACAGATACTGACTTCATACTCCTCCTGTGTGACCACACCCTCTGAGATGAGTTTCTCAGCGTACTGTCTCAACACGTTGGGCTGCTTGCCGATCTGTTTGTACATCATGGGCTGGGTGAACATGGGCTCGTCCATTTCATTGTGACCACCGCGCCGGTAACACACCTGACAAATGGTGGAAAAGAACAGGTCAGTTTGCAATACAAAGGCCACATCAATTTGATTTGTTGGTTCTCCAATTTTTTATAAAAGATATGAGGCGACAGAGTGAAAAAAAATGAAAGCAGGCTCTATGATAGGAGCCTGCAATATTAAAAATGTCTCACACAAAATGCAGACTGCAGATGAGTACAATGTATTTCTAACACTTATTATACAATAATTATAGCAGTTCTGATGTCATACCAGATCAATCACCACATCCTTCTCAAACTCAGACCTCCAATCAGCTGCCACGTTACAGACGTGGGCCACGGCCTCCGGGTCGTCCGCATTGACATGGAATATGGGCGCTTCCACCACCTAGGTGTCAACAAGTACAATGTACAATATAAGGCACATGTACATCCAATCTGAACAACCTGGATAAAACGAGTTACATTTACATGTAGTGAGAGATCTTGCTGGCCCTAAGCCATCCACAAAAGCAAAAGGCTGGTTGGACTGTGCTTGATACACATGCGTAGAGCACATCGGCAGAACGTACTTCACCTGCGCAAAACCCTGATTCTTCACAGTTTTCGTTGGTTCCATCAAAATCTTGGTTCCATCAAATCTTTTCTGACATAACATTTGGAAACTACAGATGGGATGTTAACCATATATATGCAAATGTGACCTTATATGAGACGTCCTGCTGAAGTGCTATGCACAATACATTACGGGCTTTGCGCAAGTGCAGTACATTCTGCTGATGTGCTCTATATCAAGTACAGTTCAACCAGCCTCTGCTTTTGTCCTTACCTTGGCCACATCTGTGCAGTAGGCAGACGAGCGTGAGAACCGGGGGTCCGTGGTGAAGCCGATCTGGTTGTTGACCACCACGTGAATGGTTCCGTGGGTGGTGTACGCGGGAAGGTCGCTCAGATGGAACGTCTCGAACACAACTCCCTGTCCTGCGAACGCCGCATCTCCATGCATCAGGATACTCATCACCTGAAGAGAGAATGTTTCCAGTTTCAGATGACAGAAAGGTGTCTTGTTTTCATTTGAATTTCTACTTCAGCATTTTAAAAATATGGAAATTAAACAGTCAACCTCAGCCTGGAAAAATAATTTGGTCTGCAATTTGGCACACTTCATAAAAAAAGTAGTGCTACGGCATAGCACTATGGGTGGAATGTACAAACCTTCCTGTTCTTGCCCTAAAATCTGAATGCTATCTCAGTATCAAAGAACACAACACACTTATCAAAAAGGAGTAGGGGTCCTTTCGAGTGTGAGTGGTTCAAACCTTACAGTTCAGTATTAGGCAACTTACATGACTGATGTGTTACGCCTAAGACAAGGCAGTTTACCGGCTATGTGAGACAAGCAAACAAACAAACAAGCACACACCTTCTTCCCCTCTATGTCGCCCCTGTAGTACTGCTCTGCCCGAGTCTTCCCCTGCACCACAGGGTCCACAGCCTCCAGGTGGGAGGGGTTGGCCACCAGCGCCAGTTTGATGGACTTGTTAGTGGTGCGGTTCAGTCTCATGTGGGAGCAGCCAAGATGGTACTTCACATCACCAGAACCCTGCAGATGTTGTCAATGTATCAGTATCCTGTACATCATTTTTATATTTTCAAAAACTGTGAAACCAACTCAAGTTTAGAATTAGGCCACACTGACTGCGAAATCAATGCGCGCACAGTCATGAACCATAAAATCGAATCAGTGTGGCCTTTGGTATGTGTGAAAAAATAGTTGCTGTTGTAGTGAATGATTTTTGTGAAACTATTCTAAAGCTTAAGCCACATTTCAATCACATGCTAGAGTTACCTGCACCTTCAAACTTTAAGCACCAGTACAACAGTAGACTAGATCTTTAAGTACAATCTACATGTAGATGTGGTCTTTGTGAACATCAAAAATATGTACAACTGTAATACCTCATCATCAGCCTCCAAGCTGGAGTCAAACTGACACAAGATCTGGTCCAGATCCTTGCGGACGACATTCGCCAGCACGTTGAGGCGCCCTCTGTGAGGCATGCCCAGTACGAAGCTCTCCACGCCCTGCTCCGTACAGCGGTCGATGATGGTCTTCAGCGCCGGGATGAGAACCTCACACCCCTCCAGACCAAACCGCTTCTCAGCAGGGTACTTGGTCGCTAGGAACTGTTCAAACCTGTAAAAACCATCATGGTCTTATAGAAACAATACTCCATCCCTGATAGACTTATTGAAAATATATGAATTTATTTAGTACCCTCATTATCATTTCAGATCCTACAGTGGAAGCCTTCGACAGCTCAAGTAAAGTACGACAATTAACTGCTCATTTATGACATTGACGCTAACCCTTTGTTGTTAAGACTGTCTACTAGGTAGGGCAATGTGCTCTTGTGATATCTGGTAGTTCTACATTTGAACTGTGTTATCTGGTCTCTACCTAAGATTCCTGCCATGAAGACTTGCACGTTTGGCGGAAACCACTTCAAGAAAGCTGCGGAGCTCAACAAGGAGGTAGCAAACTTACATCTGAAACAACTGTTTACCTGTCATTTGTGTCAGACAGTATATATTATGATGGAGATATATGCCATTACCACAAACAAAGCACAAAACTGGATCCATCTTGTCCCACCTTGTTGATCTGACCAGACGTGCGAGTGTCAGCCTCTTGGTCTCGCTTTCCATGGACATGATCCCGGGGATCTCAAACTTCTGCCTGATCCAGTCACACTTGGACCGGTCGTTGATATGCATGTACTCCAGTCCTATGGTTTGGCAGTAGGTCTCCTATATAATACGTCATACATTAACCCTTGTCCTGCTGGCAATTTTCACACAATATTTTAAAATAATTTCATGTCTTAATCAGGTTACAGACCCTTGACCTTTTTTGCCCTGCGGCGGCGTAGTTACTTCCGCATTCGTTGCGTTTCGCTGCGGTGTGATGCGTTGCACAAGAAACACCCCCACATCGCACATATACAGGGCACTATATAGATGGTACTGTATGTGCAACCCATATATATATGGGCCCCGCAGGACAAGGGTCAAGAAAGGCACAATTGTTTCATTCTCACACTCTCTTCTAAGAAACTCTCTAGACATAACAAGAAATCAGAAAATTCATACATCTATGATTAGTATAAAATTTAGCTCTGTTTGTTGTCAGTTTGTAAAGGTGACTAGAAGAATATGGTACATATATGTAGTTGTGAGCATAGAATAAAGATTAACATGTACCAGTATGCAATGAGGACGGTCATTAAGTACTATTGAGTGTTTCTCTAATACAGACCTCTAATCTCTTAATGATCTCCCTTAGAGGAAGGGATGAGTTCCCTCCCCCGATGAAGGTGGTTTGTGGGAGAACAAACGTGCGGTCCAGGTCCTCCTCGTTGAAGCGATAGTACGGCAGCGTGAGCTCCCGTGGCGTGGAGGAGTCCAGGTCTGCCTCCATGATACCCAGCGGGTCCAACTTGGCACATTGGTGACCACGGATCTGAAAAAGCACGCCACAGATATTTTCATGAATAGTTTTATCAGGTTGTAAACTCAGAAGGCATAACTTAGGTCTACTTCTTTTAAACTTAAATGAAGCTGTTAGAATAAATATAATGTTACCTTCATTGTCAACTTTAGACTGAGAGAATAAAGAAACTTCACAACGTTTGTCACAACTCTTATTAAAATAATATAGTCTTATTAGGGGAAAAACAGTTAAAATGTTCTTGATAGTAACCATACAAACTGTTTAAACTCTTCTTTGTGTTGGATCAAAAGTTGTAAACATGTACATGTAACTACCAACACAGATGAACTTTCATGATAACTGTTCAAACTGACTAACAAACAAGCAAACTGCTTGATTTCAGCCCTGCTAGTACCTCCTGCCTGTCCCTACCTCACCTGGTAAGCCCTAATCATAGCATGCATTCTCTGGTGAGGTACAACTTTGTTAACCCAGCTCCTGTCCTCAGCACTGATGCCTACTGACTGGTCTACACTGGGATCCTGGGAGCAAGTGGCACCTGACTCAACATCTGTCTCATATACTTCAAATATTATATATATACTTATGAATGGGAATATCAGAAAAATACCAGATCATGGTGTTACTCTAATTTTTCAGAGAATGGTTAATACTGTACAACAGCATGACACTTAATGTGATTTGTATCATGTATAACTTGCATAGTATTATACAATATATACATTGTATGTAAAACGTGGCACCAAAGAGTTCATAAATAAGGCCACTGGCATATAGAGAACAGTGCCTAATCAAAAAGTATAGATCGTCTATGAAGGTTAGACATCCAGGTAATAAGATATGTAATTTATAAGTTTGTAAATTTATAATCTATATTGTTTATAAATTTATGAATTTGTAAGTTATTCAAACAACTGGATATGATTTTGGAAACGGTCAGACGTTTAAGGTAGCATCCGCTAACTTTTTTCAGTGACACTGGAGACTTGTCAGAAAGGCAGGTTAATAAGTCCTATTGGTTGACATGTAAATAAGTGAACCTATAGAAGGATATGGACTTGAATTGCTAGAAGCCCTGATATGACGGTGACACTGACCTGATATGACCTGATGATGGCTTGTACAGCAAGATGATCGTCGATGACCTTCCCGCTCATCTGTTCCGGGGTGGCGGCCGGGACAGGTACAGGCATCATGGGCCAGGCTACCGGCTGTACGGGCATCATGGCCGGCATCGGAGGTGGCGACTGGTACGCCTGTCCCGGCGCGGCGCCGCGTTGGGCATTCCGGAAGAAGATATCCCAGGACTATATAATGATATCATCAATAATATTAAACTATAATGATTTTCAGTAACCTCAGGCTTGTAGCCTGGTTAGGCCTAGGAAAAAAAAATGTTGTGTTTCCTGTTTCCCGACTGATCCTAGAAAAACCTGCCAACCCTAATGATAAATTGTTTCATGAACTGCAGTTTACAGATGATTAGCTAGGAGGCGGCAGCACCTAAGTGCCAGCACTTCGCCATATTAGGTTGGGCGTTAATGTGCAGGCCTGCAAGTAAATCAGCCATGGTCAAGGTCAGTACTTGGTCCTAAAATTGTGGCACTGAACCTGGGAAAACCCATGGGATAAGAAAAGTATAAAAAGAACTGCCGATTTGTTGTTGCAAGTTTTAGTACAGCAAGCAGGTCTCCTCTACTGAGGTGAAGTATGCATGGTGCTTTGTTTTAACAGCCAAAAGTGCAATGTGATTGTAACATGGTCATTTTCAGCTACACGTACATGTGAAGCTGTCCTATTCCGGTATAGTATACAAGGGACCAATTAAGGCTTGATGCTTCTGATAAAAGACAAATGCCATAACCAAACAAGTACATCAGAAAAGCATGAAGATGTGTTTGTTGATGTCAAAATCTGAATCAGGTATACTAGTACTTGTCTGGGGTGAATATAAAGTATCATATGTCTGTATAGGCACTATGCCAATTGGGCCATAGGCACAAATGTGCATATGGCCCAATTGTGCTTCATCAGGCATTTTTCTAGCCCCTATATAAGGCTCCAGGTCGAGTTTTATTAATTTGTTGCATATTTACAATGTACCTAACACATTTGTCTGCCAATGTTTTGGAAAATTTCTCCTTGACTGTTTGCTTCTAAAAATCAGAGGGCATTACATCAATGGACAGGCTGAAAGGCTGTAGGAATTTCCATATGGTTATGTTATGGTAATTGTAGCTGCTTCCCAGGGCTAAAACTGCAGTATTCCCATGTGGTTTACTGGCCATTTGCAAACAGGTGATCCTACAAGTGTCCAAGTTTCCAAATAGACAATAATTATTATTGAAATTGAATATCTCGTGGCATAATAAACAGGATTTCTAAGACCATCACCACCGAAACTCACTGAATACACACTGAAGATTGTTTGTATAAAATGGCCTGAGGGAAGGAGAGTTTCCAACTGCCAACCGACGGTTACATGTGTGCTGTAGTCATCATTAACCTCTGGTTAAACTACAATATGGCACATGTTATAGTCAAGAGTAGGGGTGACCTGGCCACTGTGCTTGGCTGAAAAGACAAAGAAGCATTGCACTATTATAGGAAAAGGCATTTGGTGATAGCAGACTTCAAGTTCAGCCCCTCTGACACAAACATATAGAAACTGCAAAGTATGTTATGCAAGAACACATGTATACACACACACACACACACAGACAAGCAAAAAAACAATACTTCACTCCCTTGTTGTAAAATAAATAAACATATTGCACATTCTTGTATAAGGTATATTGCGTAAGATTAACAGTATTGACGTGTGGCTTTTTAACACATGGGGGTCAAGGTCAATCTTTACATGACATGACCCGTAGCCCGTGAACTCACCTTGTGAACACTCTTGGGGTCCTCCAGCCACGCTAAGTACATCTCCTCCACATAGTTAGAGCTGCTACCGTTCAGGAAGGATTCCTGTTGTACCGAGGTGGCCAAGAGTCGGGCCGGCTGGGCGGGGGTCCCCCTCACCGCCGCCGGCACACCTTGGCTAAGTACACCGCGGGCCAACTTGGGCCCACTAGTCCAAAACGTCCTTAAGGTGTACATAATGTCTTATGTGTGTTGACACACCACGTGTTTGTTACAATGGGCACCTCCACTTGTGAGATCCCTCAAGGGAATATGTTGTTTCTTCAAACGGGACTCTTCAGTTCGAGGGGGAGGGCGCCTTTTTCTGTCCTCCCGGCAACCTGTAAAACAACGTTAAAAACCTATAAGTATGTGTTGACAATACCCCCATAGTGTGCCTCTACTTTACAGTTAACTTAACAGGCGTTGATTACATTTAGATGTGAAGAATTAACCTATAGGAAGAGAAAACCGTCTCTTGTTGTGGCTCGACTAGTCACGATTTCCCCCTCAAGGAGAAAACCCGCGCACAACATCATGATGAAATCGGATCCATATCGTCTGACAACTTCCAAAAAAGCTTGTCATCGCTCAAGCGGTGGGCCAACAGCTGCTCAAAAACTATTCATACGCAAGTATAAATAGCTGTCAGACCTTCCGCGTGCGTCTTACCTTCACAAGAGAGTCTTAAAGAGGGGGAAAGACGAGATTGTTGGAGACAAGTGCTGGTAGCGCAACAGGGCCGTACGAGATGACCTCTGTCAGGGGATTCTGGTGACGTCATGGAATATTTACTGCGCATGACAGGTGACCTTTGAAAGGGGCGTTGCCCATGACGTCAGAAATTCTTTAAAAACCCCAAACCCACATCGCTGTACATATTGTTACGTTGGGTAGAAACCGTTTGTCGATAAGTATTATTAGGGGGGAAAACATTGTGACGAAGAAGCAAGTGAGTGCATGGAGAGTATGGAGAAAATCTGACCAAAAAATGGGGTATTCAAAGGTTTAGCTGCTACATTAGAGTGAAAATGAATAGTACAAATGTTGGCATGTCAGTCAAGTCAATGCCATTCTTTATTCCCGATCCCCTTTATGTTGTAACGTTACCTGTAGGTAGTTTTATATGGCTGCAACATTTTAGTTTCTATTTCGAATTCAGTACTATATTTTACGTTATATCATTGCTCTCAATTTAGAAATTCTGCCAGCAAAACGAGAACAGGGGTCATAACAATGATTCCTACAGCCTATCCGATAATTGTCAAGCCGACTTGCACTTATATAAATTACATATCATTACGTTTCGTACTTACCTTCTATTCTAGATGAGGTCAACCAATTGGCCAACGTAACGTGTCGCAGCAGGCAAATATTTTTTCTATCTCTATTATTGCTTTCTTACGGAGATCTGTATATATCTGTGATGACTTCAGTAATGCTGGGCTTCCTCACCGTTTTTAGAGCATCATTGGAGGGAACGTCGCATAGAAACGTGATCAATTATGCATAGGTTTCCTTTTCAGCAAATCCATCACTAGCTTGACCTTTTAGGCACCCTTTCCGGTCAAGGCCTGGTCAAGGCTCACCGACAGCAGGTTACTGGTGAACCACGCCCCCTAGCGGATGCGACAATCTGTCCGGAAGGGCTAAGTCGATCGACATGATCAAATCTGTCTAACATGCCTAAAGGGTTGTATGTTGGAACTTGGATGTCATTGAAAAAGCCGAAATTGGCGAAAACAAATTAAGGAAACGTTACATTTGCCTGTTGCCATTTGTCAGTTCAGCATATGGGGACAGATGCAACATATATAGGGGGGCACTGAGGTAAAGAAAGTAATAAAGTTTGCTGACCTGCATGCTGTCCGGACCCCAAGATTGACTAAGTGAGTGATAGAGCTGGAAATAAAAGCGGAAGCATATCCGCCAATCGGAGGTAGAAGAGCTGGAAGAAAAAAAATTATGTCTAATTTAACATGTATATGTAGTGTTAGGACTTTATCTACTTGACTGTTTAAGACAGTGGACGGATTTGCCATCCTGGGGTAAAGTTGCCGGTTGTCGCTCTTGTAATTTCTTCGTCCTTGCTTTTCCATTGAATGGAAGTCGTTTAGCGACAAAAGTTGACCTACGAGTTGTAATTCTGGTATAATGATCCATGATATAAAGGATAAAGACAGCATAACACACAAATTAATGCTTTATGTTATTGTAATACTGAAATTCGTTTGAACAAAGGACAGTGCACGTTTGTGTCCTTGTTTGAACCAAGGACATAATGTCCTTGTTTGAACTGACTAAAAAAGTTCAGGTCGGTGCTGTTACTCAGTCAAAAGTGGGGGTGTATCGAAGATAGACTACTCTTGCTTCTACTAGTGATTTCATAACATGTCTGACTGAAATTGCGAGTCTGCTGCCAGAGTCCTACGGGCGCTTCTCTTCACAGACATGAAATGTGTCCCTGTGGACATCATTATCCGTCCAAATTGCGGCACTGGAGCCAAGGTGTGATTGAAGCCGACGATGACCAGATAAACAGAATGAAACTTTAGTGTATGATCGGCGTCGTGCAATCGCAGCATCGCGTGTGACCAATATAAAGGCCACAGCAAGTAATTCTATGGATGGCATCAGCGCACGAATTAATTTTCGTCTGATTTTTAAAAAAAATGATCAAGTTGCCGAAAATGGGAAAATATGTTGTTCAAACACAATCTGGTATCCAGCAAATTTGAGACACAATTGTTCGCGTTTCGCCCGAATGTTGACACTTACACGTTCCATCGCATCCTACCTAGCCCAGTATAGTACAAATGTAGCTGCCCATGATGGTACGACCGTGAAGCCGTTTTATTAGAATGTCTTTACGCCTTTCAAGGACACAGGTAAATACTGTTGAATACAAAAATTAAAGATCTGTTTGGTTTTGATATCATATCATGTACATGTATTGTCACCTCAACGCTTATGACCTCAAGATTTGAAAATAAAAGAATCTCTTTTTTTGCTCGCCTTGTTTTTCCCTATCGCATTATATTTGGAATCAGCGGAGAATGTTATCCATAAAGTATACTGTGGTCATATAAGTAGTGCGTCTCAAGATCAATATCCTAATAATTTTTTAGGGCAAAGAACTGTTACTAAACCTCCTTACTTCCTTTGAGCACGTCGGCAGCTACGTACTTCACCTGCGCGAAATTTAAACCCTTTATGTATTGTGTAAAGCACTTCGCCAAACATCTCATATAAGGTCGTATATTCGCATATATAACGGTTAACATCCTGTCTGTAGTTTCCAAATGTTATGTCGGAAACGATATCCACAGGCAAAATTCTGATACAACGTTGACCAAACATCCAAGGAAAACTGTGGAAAATCAGGGTTTCGCGCACGACGCAGTGCTTTCTTTGAGGTACTGGACATTATGCGTGTTGACTCCTCAGTATTGTCATAGAGGTACTTTCCATACAACCTCTCTGGTATTGTTGAACGCAATGGAGTGACTGCATTGTACCTCAAAACAGTGAGTCTGTGACTGTGTCCTATTGGATTAGGGGTGTCAAAAATCATATTAAGTACTTCTATTCTAATCACGCATGCGCACTGTGGGGAGCGCCACAGCCCATATATGTGGATGAACCAGCCAGACAACATACTTTTATTAAAAAACATTTACTGATATTGATAATCAGATGCGTATGAGTTAAAAGTTCTGACTTTTCAAGCAAGAGTCTTTTTTTAATTTAACTCTGATTATAACCGCCTTTCTCTAAAGCAAGCTTGTTTCACTTGATGAGTGCGTTGTTATGTGCCCATCAAATTTTGCTGCAATAATCCAGATGAATTACGAAAAATTGGAAATAATGATTTGCATAAATATTATATAAACATATGCGATTTAAACATTATTTCGTTAGTTCCATGCGATTTTCTTGCCTAACTTCAGAACCCCAATTAACAGTCACGTGGTAAGTGTCGGCATGCGAAGTCTGCTATTGGCCGCTGCCAAATGTACCCAAAAGTAGGACTGACATTAAAAACAGTTTTTATGAAACAGACAACACCTTTTCTTACACAGAAGTGCCAAACCACCTTATATAGGTGTATAATGGTTTCATAATTTTTATATTTGCACATTAAGTCGTGATATTGCTGAAAAATTAGATAAATTTGTTTCTGCCGTTTTCCCGCGGTTAGCTTACATCCGGGTCAGTCACATTTCATAATGGCGGAGAGTAGCGACTGAGGTGACAGCCTCTCACGACATTCCCACTATTATTTCTTCAATAGCACTGCTAGAAAGACAGAAAACGTGCCTATGTGAAGCCGAGCGCGGAAGATGCAGCATGAAATACAAAATGTAGAAGGGGAACCCGAACAGATGGCGAAGAATGAGGGGAATTCTGGGTCCAAAGTCGAGCCCCTGAACGTTACCTTCACCAAGCTGGCCGATCCCCATGCTGTGCTAGCCGCTGCCATGCAGGACGATTTGATGGCTGACTTGTCAGGAAGTGAGGAAGGGGAGGTTTCTGAGGTTAGTACAGACATTTTCCTCGCAGAAACGAGACCAACAGGTGTGTAGAACGGGTCGCTGGACGACAGAGGGGAACAGATTTCGGGGGTCGAATCTGCTATGGCGTGTCGTCATTTTTTTTTTTTTTTT